CAGGGATTACAGGCTTAGAGCTGCTTTCGCTGGCAGGGAAAAGGATGACAGAAGTAGGACAGGGGTTAGGTACAGGGTCATGCAGACACGGGAGCCTTTTCAGGTGAACCCGTAGCAATCTCCTATCCCGAGCGCAGAGGGCATCGGAGCAGGCCATCTCCGCTGCGGCCGCACCAGCTCTTGCTGCTGCAGTCACAGGTCTCTTGAGGTTGCAGTGACAAACCCCGGTCCTGGTGCTTCGGGCCTCTGCTGCCTTTGCTCCTCTCCTGGCTTGCACTGAGCCTGCTCTGCATGCACGCCGGATCGGGGAGCTGGCCTGAAGGTCCGTCCCGGCAGCCAGGCAGGGGGAGGCTGCTCTGGCTGGACCGGAGCGCAGCGGTGCGGGGAGGAGGTGCCCGTGCTCCTGAAATGCAGGGCAGGCAGTAGCCAAACCAGGACAAGTGGGATCACGTGGATCAGACCCCTTTGTGCTTTCCCCTCCCCACAAAAACCAGTCTGCCCATTGCAAGCAAGGGGTTTGCTTTCACACTGCAAAGGGATGCTGCAGAAGAAAAGCACGGTGTCTGCAACCAGTCTGCAGGGCCCCGATGACTGCCTTTGCTCCCCGCAGACAGGCGCTGCTTAGTCTCGTCTCTCTGCAGCTCCTCCCACGGCCAGCGAGACAAGGGGCCACAGGGCCTGGGCACGCTGCAGGCTGCTGAGATGCCCTCAAGCCTGTGCATCCCCAAGGTCAAAGGCGCGCAGCTATTTGGGTCTAACTGGGGCGCCTGGGAAGCGCCCAGAGGCTGCGTGCCCTCCACGCCGCTTGCTTTAGAGATGGCACCAGCAGCGGGCTACGGCCGTGTCCTCCGGACTCAGATAGGCAGGGTGGGTGGGCAATGACGGGGTCATTTTAACCCCTCTCAGGCTGCCCAGGTGCCTTTCCTCCCAGCGCCACAGACCCTCACAAGTCAGGCGGCCACACGTGAGGCAGCGCTCGCCCCATGCAGCACCACGCTCCACCGAGCCCCCCAGCCCTTTAATACCACCTCCGCGCCGGCACTGCCAGCTGCACAGCGCTGCCTCTGCAGCGCAGAGAGGAGCTGAAACCCACAGCCCCACGCCGAGCCTCGCTGCCTGACAGGGCTGGATGATGTAAGAGCTCTTCTCATCTTGAAAGTCCTGCGTTAGCCTCCTCGGATGCCCAGCGCCAGGCGGAAAAAGAACGAGAGGTCAAGCCAACGCTCGCGGCTTCCTGCCTTATCAAACTTCTGCTTCAGATCTGCGTTCCCGCTCTCGAGACAACCACGTCGGCTCTGCAAAATATAGATCTCGAACACAGAGATGTGCCCCACTGTCTCGCTGAAACCCACGGGCAGGGAGCGCTTGATATGGACGTTCGCAGCGTGTCGCACGACCGGATGACAAATGAACGTGTCGGAGCTGAGGTGGTGTGATTTTCAGCTCGACGTCAGCTTGCTCTCCGCTCGTGTTTCAAGATTAACTTCACAAGTGCAGGGCTAAAAAATTTATATTTTTAATGAAAGCTTAAAAGTCTGGAGCATCTCTTCGATGACAGCCCTATTTCACGAGAATCCTGGTGACCTGCGTGGCAGCGGTGCTGACTAATGGTGCTTGTAAATCAAAAATTAACGCGGTAATAAACTGAAAATACAGGCACTGCTTTGGTTTTTGCTACTGTCACCGAGTGATTCAGTTTTCAAATCCTAATAATGAGATCCCAGGAATGGTTAGGCTCACCAAACAATCACTCTCAAGGAACACATTTTAAAATATTTACAAGTCATAACCCAGCCAGCGGATTTATTGGAAAACAGCCCAGGGCATTTGCCCCGTTCTCTCTGGCGGGAAGCAGTGAGTTTGCCGGGGCTTTACCGTGCAATCGGTGTAACGCCCCCCGCTCCCGTGTCGGTGCCGCCTGCAGCACAGCCTTCGCCAGAGCCCCCCGCAGACTGCAGAGAAAACGCCATTCCCACTGCACCCGGCGGGGCCGCGTGGCGCTGGCTTTGCCGTGGCGCTGGTGGGAAGCAGAGCCACGCTGCAAGGACCCCACGAGGCTTTGGGCCAAGCACTTTCTGAATGCTGAAGACAGTGCCGCGCCCCCCCTGCCTGGCTGTCTACTGCAATAGGGCCAAGCCCTCCCTCTGCTTCAGTCCAACATGAGGGAGGCTGGATTAGCGAGGCCTTGCCAATGCCAGAGCCAGGAGCGGAGCCAGTGATGCCACGTGGTTGCCTGGGCCCACCCCCAGACCCCTCCGCTGGTCCCACGGCTTCGAGCGGCCAGGGCGCAAGCTCATCCTACCTGAATGGCTTCTGTGGTGGGAGGAGGCCAGCGTCAGTCTTCCCCATAGCGTGATAAGGCAGAGAGTGAGCACAAATCCCCATCTGCTCAAGCTGCGTAAGTCTCTCTCACTCATTCTGCCAGAAGCACAAAGAGAGAGGGAAGAGATGCAGAAAGCAAGAAGTGCCGTAACTCGGAGCAGGGCTGGGGAAAGGAAGGGCAACGAAGGCAGCGCCGACACGCCAGCATCCCTGTGCGGTGCACACGGGAGAACAAAAGAAGCCCGGGCACTACTCTCGTGGTGGTTCCAGAGCACATGCATGCACGTACGTGCAAATAAATAGCTGTGCACACGTGTGCACATCTGCACGCGCCCCTTTCTGAATTTGCTCTTTACGCAGCACTTTGAGTGCCGTTCTTAAAGCTGCGTGGCCAGTGAAAGCACAAAAAGAAGACGCTGCCTGAATGACAGCAGGGCAAAGTTACCTACCTCTTACCGGGGTCTTGCAGCTGATGCCGGTTCCTCTGCCAACCTCAGACAGACTAGGTCTTTACCAAGAAGGGAAAACATCAGTGCACCTGAAAGCAGGGAGAGAAAAACAACCACATTGGCAATGATACCCTCCACGACGCTCCCGCCTGGGAGAATCATGCACCCTGGGAAGACGCTGTCTTGGGATCACCTATGGCTGTGATTATCCAGGCAGACAGAGCTGGTCCTGCTCCAGGCAGCCGTCAGGCATGGCTCTATCAGGGGTCCTGTCTGGCAGGATGCAGCGGCTGTGATCCTGGCCTTGCCCGCCCCAGCTGCAACGTGGCGACTCCATGGGTGTGAGGGGTTTGCTCCTGATCTGGACCGGGGTAACTGAGAGCTGTCTCAGCTCCTACTGCGCATGGAGAGCAATGCATGAAATACATGCAGCAACACCACCTTTGTGCAGGGGCTAAACATGCCTTCGGCCACAGCTGGGGGGTCTCTGCGGTGCCATGTGTTGGACTGGGACAGGTGCGCAGCAGCCTGGGCTCCCAAGAGCCTGCATCTCAGCGGACAAGGGCTCAGAGATGGGGGCTAGTGTTATCTCCCGGGACGCGGATCAAAGGTATGGACACAAACAGCTGACCCCAGGTAAGTTTGGGTGTGAACACAGAGGAGAGCACTGCCCATGCACCATCGCACCCCACGGTACTTTCACTGAGGCATAAGCTGCCTCCTGAGGGGTGAGAGTGCACACACGGGCAGCAGCTGCCGAGCACGTGCAGCCCCGACCTCGCCTCACGCTAGCCATGTGCCCCAATGTCCCGTGCTCCCGTGGGGCATCCTTCCCCGAAGCACATGTGCGCTGCTCACTTTACAAGGCCAGCAGAAAGGCCTCTGCCTTTAAATATTCCTTTCCCTCAGGCCTAAAATACTGCACATCATTATCACCTGCTTATCGCCCTGAATACTTGAGCCAGGGGAAAAATCCAGGCTGCTAGCAGAGGCGAAGCTCCGAGAGCCGGATCCTGACAGCACGGAGGGGCACAAGCCGTGCGGAGGCTGCACCCAGGTTTCTGGGGAGGAAAGAGCCATCCCCTCCCGTGGTGCCACCTCCCATGCTGGACCCAGATGGGCTGCAGCAAGGAGCCCACCAGGGCCTTGTGCATGAGGAGGGGGCTGCCTGGGGCCCAGCCCTATACAGGGCCAGGCTGCTGGGAGGAGACCTGCTCAGGGGCTAGGACTTTGCCCAAGGGCATGGGGAGCCTGACAGAGGCAAGAGCTGTGCCCTGGTGTCCTGAGGGTGCTGTCTGTCCACCCTGCTTTATCATCGCCTGCCTTCAACCCATTCCCCTTCACGTTTATCACCCCTGGCCCTGCAGCGGGGAGCAGCCGCGGCGTCTGAGCATGAGCCGCAAGCCCCTGCTCTGCTCCTGCAAAGTGAAGTGACAATTCCCGGGCCGGTTTATCGCCTGCCGGGGCCTCGTAAATACCGCCTGCGCGATGCAGGTGCTCACGAGCGAGCTGGAATTGCTCACAGCCGAGACGGAGCCAGGCCCAGGCTCGGTACAGCCAAGGCGATCGGCTGTCTCCTCTCCGCGGCCCAGCACCTCTCTGGGGTCTCTCCCTGGAGGGGCTAGTTCAGGCCTCGCCACTGCCGGGGGCCCGTGATGCTCACACGCCATGCACCAGGCGGGGTCCCCTCTGCACTGCATAAGTCTGGGGGCCCAGTGCATCAGTAAAATCCCCTTCCAGATCCAAAAGACCCTGCCCAGCAGCCCCTA